TCCTGCTACGGCATCTTAATCCTGACTAACAACAATCTCTGTTTTCCCAGGCACAGACTTCATCTGAGTGAGCTGAGTTTTCTCCCTTCTTCTCCTAAAATATGATTGCTTGCTGTGATCTCCATGAAAAGTGAACCTTGAGAACCACAGAGACACTCAAGCCAGTCTGTATTTTTGTAGACATCTCCAGAGACACAGAGACTCCCAGAATTATGAGCTTAAATTTACAGTCCGATTAATGCACCTAAGTTGTGTTCCTAACACCAGAGGAAGGCTGGAGATGACTAACAAAAACTGCCTGTGGTCCATACAGGCTGGATTGGCTAGAAAGGGGGAGTAAACCACCACCATTGCAGCACCCATCCTTGAAGCAGTGTGGGAAACATGAAAGATGAATCCATTGGAAACGGCAGGGACATGGACCTGTTCCCTGTTAGGTCCCCAGCAGACCTGAGAGCACCCAGGTTTGCTGTTATTATGAAGTGCCTCTGCTCAGATGTCTCGGTGAGGCGAAGGCCACCCCAGCCCGCTGCCCCGCTCAGCCCCTTTTACCTCCTTCTCCAGCAGCGTGGTCAAGTGCTGCTTGGCCAGGCCCTCGTCCCGGTCGTCCGAGGCGGCCAGGTGCAGGGGGGCGATGGGGATCTGCTTCTCCTCCCGCAGCGGGGTCGTCTCCACCTGGTGCCAGCGCTGCTCGATCTCCACGTGGACGTTCTGCGGCTTCATGTCCGCCGGGATGGGCAGCCCCGGGATCCTGTCCACCTCCATCCTCAGCGCCTCCTCCGGCCCTGCCCCGTCGACGGCATCGATCATCTCGAAGCGCTTGCGCCTCTCCTCCCTCCGGCGGGCGCGCTCCCTCTCCAGCTCTCCCGGGTCCGTGTCCGGAGCGCCGCTGTCCTTGGGGAAGGCGGCGGTGCTGCTCTTGGAGGAGTCGGAAGTGTTTGCCCGCTCCTGCGCCAGGGCTTGCTGGATGGGGCGAAATTCAGCCCAGTCAAAGGTCTTGGACCGTCCTTCTCGCCGGCGCTCCCGGGCCCGGCTCCGCTTCTGCTCCGGATCCATCTCGACTTGCTCTGCGTCCGGCTTCTCGCTCGGCTTCGGGCTGGTCTCGAAGGAAGAGCTCGTTTTGCTTTTCTCCTCCGGCAAGGAGCTACAGGGAGAGAGAAAGAGAGAGGGCGAAGGGAAGCATGAGGCAGAGCTCGGGCCCCTCGTGCTCTCCCACGCATGCCTCAAAGAGCTGCTGCTTCAGTCGGGTGAAAAGGGGCTGCTGGAAGCCCAAGCAACTGCCACGTGCCGCCCTGCCCGGCCGTCTCCCAGCAGGGAGACTCCCTCCTTCTCCCGTGAATCCAGTGCCCTCGGCAGGGAAGCGCTGCGGGTGTGCACAAGCCGGGATGCAAGCGGCCCCGCACGGCTCCCCGCCGGCCCCGCGCTCCCCCCCGGAGAGCTCCGCTCCCTCCTTGGATCCTCTGAGTCTCCTCCGAGGGGCCAGGGATCGAGGAGCAGCTCACGGGGCTACAGCCAAGCAGCAGCCCCCGAGCGAGAGCCTCCGTGGTGGCCGTGAGCTCCTGCGCGGTTCCCCTCCGAGCTCGTCCCCTCCGTCCCGGATCTGCCTCCCCAGCTCCGTGCACACACGTCCGCCGCCGAGGCCACCGCCACGTGCTCACTGGGAGGCTGCTACTGGTCCCATCAAAGTCGGGCTGGCTCCAGGGCCGTGGCTTCCAGGAGGCCGGAGCACCCCGGCTAGCGCTCAGCGGGGAGGAGGAGGAGGAGGAGGAAGCACAGAGCAGCTCTCAGCGGTCTTTGGAAACGGGGTTAAGTTTTTCCTTGAGCTTGGCAAAGTCTGGGGGTTAATGGTTTGAAAACTTCTCCGTGCCACTATCTGTACTGGAAGCACGGATGTTCCCGAGGGAAAACAGCCTTGCCATAGGCACTGGGAGACACGGCAAGGCGGGCTGCATGTCTTATAGATGCAGCCGTTGGTGCAGCAAGGAGAGCAAGAGTTAGGCAGAGTACAGCAACAGTCACTGCTAAGACCAATTTCTCAAGCAAGGAACGACTCTGAGTGCTGAGTTAGAGCATGGCGGGTTGAGAGGGAAGACACACTCGTCAAGCAGGGAAAGTTAATAAGGGAAGGAAGTTTCCAACCTAGGGATAATCTGTAGTGCAGTATTAGCTCATTAAACGTAGACATGCCAGCCTTATAACATGCAGATCAAAACTAAAAAAGAAAATAGCACGATGTGAACTTCCCTGAAGAATCCTGTCCTGAGGGACAAAGGGAGGCATTTGCTGAAACCTCTCTGCTATCAGGCCCCCAAACGCTGCCTCCTTTCACAAGCCGCTTCCAAACAGCCCTGCTGTCCGGGGTGACCCTTGGCTCTCTCCGCTCCCGCCTTTCCCAACGACAGCAGCCCCCGGGGCTCAAGGCATCAGCACAGCCTTGATGAGCTTTCTAGAGGGGCGCAGGGAAAGGGCCAGCAAGAAGTTCCAGGGGCCTTTCATTGCAGGCAAATTAATGCAATCCCAAACACTAAGCATTAAGGTGGTCCGAACCATGGGATTGCATGCATGGAGGCTGCTCTTCTTTACAGAGAGCAGCAGAAGAATGGATTCTGCTCCGGAATTCCTAACAAAACCCAGCTCCCCCAGCCAAAAACTTCATATATGTGCATACGCCCACAGCAAAGAATGGAGCAGAGCAGATGCCGCTGCATGGTTCCAGTGCTAGTATCTTCCGATGCACTTTCATCCATGATCAAACCACAGGCTCTGCAGAGCTGAGTTTCAAGAAACTCTGGCAGTTACAGGCTAAAACCAGCTTGGAGATAATTCCTTCTTCAGCTCTGTCACTTGCAGCTAATAAAACAAACCCAAAAGGCAACATGATGAAACCTCCTCACTCCTCAGCCATTGGGAGATACTGCATGAATCCAAAGCACACTTCCAGCCAGGCATTCAATCTGGAGGCAGTTTAGTGATTACAGCTGCGTTTTAAATAAGTGAAAGAGTGATGAGATGGAGTCTTAAAATGGAGAAGAGAGTTAGGAAGAAAGGGAGTCCCAGGGCCCCTGGTACAATGTTGGAACAGAGAAATAATGTTGCTCTAAATAGCACACGGGAGAACCTCAGCACGTCCAGAGGCAACATCTCTTGCTAGCTTATTTCTCCTTTGCAGATTCCCAAGGGGCACGGCACATGAGTCAAGCAAGAGATGGGGGCACAGGGAGCTGAATTAACAGACTCAAAAGACTGACCCAAAGCTTTTTATTTTATCTCATCTCACAGAAGTGCTCCTTAGCTATTAACTCCACTCAAGTGTTTCCCATTTCCTCCAGCTCAGACCAATGAACTCACATTACGTGAGAGGTTTTTGCTTCCCAATGGCATTTACAGCTCAGGCAGCAGCAATATTCTTTAGCAGGGTGGGCAGTGCACGCTCTGCATCGAGAGTCCTGCCGCAGAGAGCAACAAGTGCATGAAGGCTGCAAGTGCCCCAAGTGCCTGTAGGAGCACGGGGACACTCGGCCTAATTGAGGCCCGAGAGCTAAATAAGCACCTAGCACTAAAGCAATCACCTGCCTTCCTGTGGATACCTTTTATCTGCACGGTCATCGTTAGCCCAGCGTAATTAGTGCCTTTGCGGATTGCATGGTTCTTTACGGGGAAGGGATTAGTGGACCCACTGCCGGGGTGTTGACACAAATGCTAAGGTATAAACAGTAATTAGGACTTAAGTAACAGAGAAAACATGCGCTTGGCTTGGTGGAGACATCACGGAGGGTTAACAGGGGATGGACGAAGCGAGCGTGAGGTGCCAGACTGGCTCCTGGGGACAGGGTCAACACTGCCACCCTCCACTGTGCTGCTCCCTTCACCCTAGCACGGTGCCAGGGCCTCATCTCCCTGCTCAGCTCATGGGAAGCTTCTCACCCCCCAAGGCATCCTGATATTCAGGATGAGAGATCTGCCACCCTCCCATGGCAAACCTTGGCCGTTCTGTCCTCTGGCTTTCCGGAAGCTGCTTCCCAAGCGGAGGATGTTAAGGACATGCCCGAGGATAACGCCGGGTGGGCTGGGATACCCCATGTCCTGGCATGCTCAGCAGCACAGGCTGCTGAAAGGCACCTTGTGAGCAGAACCTTGTCACTCTCTGGACACCCGTCCCAATTCAGACAGCTCTTCATGACGTGACTAACCCACATGGGATTCTAACCCACTTTCATCCCTTCTAAAATCAGCTCAGTGAAAAACAACAGGAGGGCACCTATGACTCCCTCTTCCCCACCTTCGGATTCAGATTCACCACCTATTCATGCAGCTTAACAAGTTCCTGCCCAACAGGTACCTGCACTCGGACCCTTTCACTAGGCTAAGTCAAGGGAAAACACTTCACCCAGGCTAGGAGTGGATGCAAAGCCAGTGAGCACAGGACTGCTGTGGTGCAGTAACTCGGGAGGCTCTAAGTATACAGGGCTCTTTAAAGGCTCAGAAGTCCCCTCAAATCTCCTTGGTCTTCACCTTCATATCTATTCACATCGGAAGATACCAGTGTGGGGAAATCAAGTGTCAAGACCAGCTTGCTTCTTCCCTTCTTTCTGGCTTTTATTTAAAAGAAAAGAAAAAAAAAAGGGGAAAAAAAGAAAAGAAAGAAAAATAAATGAAAACTGCAGGACTTCCCATCTGAAGTGCAGAAAAGGAGGAGCATGCAGTGAATCACAAGATATACAAACCACAAAACGTTAATACAGGAGAGAACACAGTTTTCCAACCTGGGCTTCAGCACGGATAGTTTCAAAGAGAAGTTTTTCCTGGGATTGCATGGAAATCAAACATACACAGGAGTGAGGAAAGAGGCGGCTTCCCAGAGACCCATGAGAGATCCACCAGAGAGCTGGGGCAGGGCTGGGAAATGGCATTCGAGTGTAAGGCAGGAAGGGGAAGGAGAGACTGGAGCAGCTCCGGTTAAACAGCACTGGGTGAAAAGAGCCAGTCCCCAATGCCAGGAATAATCCGGCCAGGATCTGCCTGTTGCAGCTACGGCAAGGACCGGAGACGGAGTTAACTGTGTGGCTGTGCCCATTAGGTCTGTCCCAGGCGGCCCAAACCAGCGTGGCTGACACAGCTGGCTGTGAGAAGGTCAAATAACCCTTTGCCCATGGCCACGAGCGCTCGCAGAAGGTACTCTGTGAATTGCAGGGCCCCTTCCTCTGGCACTGACGGCAGTAGAAGAGGCTAATATTACTGAAGCAAAAGGGAAGGAGCTGCTGCAGCGATCTGGAGATCAAAAGAGGAGGAAGACTCTTTGCTGGCTGGAGTTTACAACACATCAGAGCCAAATGGCTTCTGATTTAACCCTGGGCTTGCGCTGATGTGACCCATGGAGGGGACAGGCAGCCCTTGCTGAACAGTAGCCAGAGGAAAGAGGGAACCCAGCATGACTGAATCCAAGTGGTTTCACAATACCTGGTGGGAATCCAGAGGAGCCTTGATAAAGGAACAGTATTTCATATTCCTATGTACAAATTAAAGCCATATTTTCAACCCTCTTTGAAATCTGAACACAAAAAAGAGTAACTCAACATATCAGCAGCCCTACAAAGTGCTTCCAAATTAAGGCCAGATACAGGGATATGAGAAAGAGCCAGAGCTTCCAGGAACAGACTCCGAAAGAGGAAAGAAAAGGAGTAAGGAAAGGGTGATTCTTGCATTGCAAACCACACAACCATGGGGACCTCAAGTCTCATCTAGTCTCCAGCTTCTCCCCTCTCTACCTTGTGACATCGGGAGCGGTGGTGGGACGAACGTGCTTCATGATGGTCTGAATCCAGTTCCGTCGAATTCCGGACGTCATGGCAGAGAGGGTGAATTCCCCTTCTTTAGTCTAGGGAAAGGAGGGGACCAGCTCAGCACCCTGCTGCCCTGCTGGGCACCTCGTGGGGCCCATCCAAACCCCTCGCCCAGTCCCGCTGGCTGCTGCTTGGAGGGTGAATCCAGCTGCAGGTCCCATTCCCTGCAGCAGCTCCAGGCGGGAATCAAGATTTCTCAGTACCTAAACTGGTTTTGCTGAGTCCCTGAGACAAAAACCTGCCCTTTCCCCCTCCACTTCCATAAAGCAAACCCAGCTCCCCAGAGCACAGAGGAACAGCTCCAAGCACACGGCTCAGGACACAGGGTGGTCTCTTTTGGGAGATGGGAAGCTACTTCCCTTCCCATGGACTGCAGCTGCACGACGGGAGCAGTCTGCTCCCGCCAGCTCCAAAGGCTGCCGGAGGCAGATCCCTGCGGGCACAGCCGCACTCCCACCTTCCCCGCAGCTCATCCCTCCTTCCCACGATTTCCTTACGTGGATCTGGAAGCCGTAGTTTCGCTGAACCGGGTACTCGGTAACATCGTAGCATGTAGATAAATCGATTTCCCCATCCAGGTCAGCTGCCTACAGAGGGGAGGAGGCCGTTATTTATTATAACTCCTAGCACCTTGCAAATAAAACGCTCAGCTCAGACCTGCAGGAGCCCCAGCTCACCTCTCCGTGCCCTTTCCTGCTTTCTTGCCATTCTTTTTTGCAGGTAGCCCCACCAACCCACTGGGATTTGACGTGGCACACCCGGACAGCTGGCACACACAAGGCACTGTGAGCTGACCGGGGAGATATGGGGCTTATCCCCATGCAGAACGGGCAGGAATTAACTCCAGAAAGGAGATACCTACCTCCTCTGCTACCGAATCCCTGTAGTATCTCAGGCTCTGATCCGTCAGCACAAACCAGTGCTTCTTCCACTAGGAAACAAGCAACATGTTACCAGTCTGCTCCTCCGCTGCTGGAGAGCTGGAATAGCCCCCCAGGCCCAGGGAGCCACTTCCAGGCTCCCCTCTCCCCTCTTGCCCTGTGATCTGCTGAGGACAGTTTTCATGGAGAGGCCTCCGGCTTTCCCAGGGGAAAGGGAAGAGTGTAATGAGCTGTAGCATAAGGGGCCCCGTGGTGAGACAAGGATGTGGTTCCCAGCGCTGGGACATGAGCTTTGCTTGCGCTGAGCAGACGTGCTGAGGGAGCGCAGGGTCCCCCCCTGCCACTAACCCCCTGTGTGTGACAGCAGCACAGGCTGTGAGAGCCACCGGAGCCTTCGGAGCCCTTCCCATCGGCTCCGCTGGCAAAACGATGCTTTTAGTGGCTGCACTTTAAGCCTTAGAGCTGCTTTTTTTATTTATAAAAGAAAAGAAAGAACAATAAAATGTTCATGCTTTATCTGCAGTACCTAGAAGTAGAGCTGGAGCCAGTTCCTGGCACTCCTTCTCTACAAACACACCTTGTGCACACTCCCGGTGCGAGGTGGGCACCTCCAAGGGAATCACGGATAAAAGCAGCGCTGCCCCCAGCGCCCAGAGCTGCACATGTGGCTGCCCATGGACGTGCCCTCTGCCAGCAGCTGGAGCCCTGGCCGTGGCACTGCCACGTGCTGGGTGCCCAAGGAACCCTCGTCGGGGAAGGAGTCGCACGCGGGCAGCGGCGCCGGGCTCCAGGCTCTGGTATGGGAGCGCTCTTCCCGCTGGGAAGGGCCACAAGCAAAGCAGCAGCGGGTGCTTCTGTTAGGGCCACGACTGAGACGTCTTTTCCTGCTCGCTTTCGTTTCTCCAGCGCTCCGGGGGCCTCATCTGAGCCTCATTACTGATGCCAAAGAGGTTGCCGGGTCGCAAGGGAGAAGAGACTAATAGAGAAGGGGAACACGAAACCAGGGCTACTCTCCAGGCTGCCTGACTCCCTGGAAACCCATTACACACTATCCAGATGCAGGGCCTTGAAACCGCTGCGGGACAGAGCACCAGCTATTCCTGCTCCGATGCAAACAGCCGTCGTTGTCTGGCTTGGGATCCACACAGATTCCCTCCAGCAGCTCTGCCCAGCACCTGCATCTGCCTTTTCCCATCTGCAGCACCGACCCAGTCTTGATCTGCCCTGCAAAGCCAGCCTGGCTTCACTTAGCGCTGAGAGCAGCCTCGTGCAGGGCCAGCACGTGTGACATTGGAAGAGGCTCGAAACCCGGCACACTGCCCTCGTTGAGCCTTTGCCAGGAATTTAGATCTGGCACTGGGTTTGTGCAGCTGCTGCCGCTGTGCAGTGGTTTTTAAAAGACTGATCAGTGGAGAGCCTGTGCTCCCAGAGAGAAGGACTCGTACCCATTTTGACTGAGCACTGCCCCAAGAACCAGGCGGACTGAAAGGATCCTTTGCAGTTTTCCAGACCATGAAGGGGCTGTCCTCCAGGCCATGGGTACAGAAAAGAGCCTGCATGCAGAGTCGGTCTCGGCATCAGGCTCTTCTCAAGCCGCCTGGATGCTACAGGTGGGTGGGAGCTGCTACAAGCTGGGATTTGCCACAGCAATAAAGACCGACCTGAAGGGAGTGTGTCCTCCGAGACTCACCTGCCCATCCTCGTACTGCTTTGTCAACCAGCCCTTCT